CCTTTGCGTACCTGTCGATTTTTGTCAGCTCCTCTGGGACAACACGCAAAGCAAACTACATTTTATCTGTGAAGTTATTAGTGTATTCATCGATGGACATGTTTCCCTTCTTTAATGTCAGAAATTGGTTATCTAGCTCAAGCAGATTTTGGGCCGAGCAGTACTTGCGCTTGAATTGCACCAAGAACTCTGCCCAAGTCAGTTGCAGTGGCTCATTATGGCTTGGGTCTTCCCCAGAGTGTTCCACCAGCGAACAGCGCCACCTTTGAACTGACGTACTGCAAATTTGGTTTGTAACTTGCCTTGGAAACCACATGTCATGAAGGCTAATTCCATCTCCGAGATCCAATCCATTACTCCGACGAGATCTTCCTTTCCAGTGAAAATTGACGGCTTGCAAGTCATAAAGTCTTTGTACTTGCATCCATTTCTCTCGATTCCATCCTCTTGGTTATTCCTCCTAACCACAAGCGGTTCAGTTTGACCAATAGATCTACTGTAATTTCCTTCCTCTGACTGACCGTCATTTAGTTTAGGTTGTTCAACAGGCATTAAAGGTTCATTCCTATTGTTCAGCAATAGTTGTCTCATTTCTTCCCTTTGTTCAACCATCATAGACTGAATCATGGCTTGTACTCCAGCCAATGTGATTGGTTCTGGTGCAACTTCTACTATAGGCACCTACTCAATCACTTGGGGTTGAGGCTGTTGATTCCTATTCGCATTTCCAGCTCCACTTCGGGTTCTTGCTATTATGATCTATACACCAAATTAGGCGAATTTAGATCTTTATTCACGATAGATATTTAAATTCTCCTTATCACTACGAAACGTTACATACTAGTTTTAATAATGTAGTCATACGCTTAGAATCCTGAACACATAAGGTTTCCAGATGCGGTAGGCAACAGACCATAGATCCGAACAAACAATATCATATATGGCAAACATATAGCATTTAGCACATAAAAAATATTTTAGGCATCTTTCCTAAAATATACTAGTGCTCGTGTCTAAAATATGGTAGACACTCGTCTCACGATCATCACTTAGCATTCTAAGTTTAAGTCTAAAAATCCTACAAATTCCTAGTTCTCACTACTGCTCTGATACCAACTGTGACATCCCCATTTTCACGGCCAGAAAAGACCGATTTCGTTTACGCTTTTAAAATAAAATCAGAATAATCTTTTAAAAAGTGTTGCGGAATTTGTCCCCAAAACAAAATATGATAAACATTTATCAAAGCATTTCTTAAAGAAATGAATTTTTCATTTCATTACAAAACTCGGGATGTCAACATCGATATAAACCAAAAGCATAAACAGTACAATATAGGCCTTACAACAGTTATTTACATCTACTGGCCTATAATCCAAAATCTCTCGTCATCGTCCAAATATGTCCTTGTTCCACTACCTGTAATATAGAAAACTGAGTGGGTCAGGCTTGGGAGTCTGGTGAGCACATAGGGTTTTCAACCCACAATAAATAAATTTATTAAGTTTAATCATTAAACAATCAACCCAATTTCCCATCCCCATTATCTTCTTTATTCTTGAAGATCTTAAGAGTCATCTGTCCTTCATTCATTCATTCCTAAGGAATAGGCACGAAATCCATCGCTGCCAGGGTTCTTAAATTACAACTGGTGAACACGTAGTTTAAAACATCTGGTAAACACGTAGTTTAAAAATATCTGGTGAACACTTAGTTCAAAAATACTTAATGAACACCTAATTCAAAAACACCTAGTGAACACTCAGTTCAAAATACCTAATGAACACATAGTTCAAAAATACCTGATGAACTCATAGTTCAAAAACACCGGATGAACACATAGTTCAAAAACACCTACAGATTACGAGCATGTTAATGTTCCACTGGACTGTCTAGAAGTGTCTGTGGTCATCATCTATATTCCGCTAGATAACGGGAACATCATCAACATCGAGACCTCTCATCATTTTCTTTCATCACACATCAACTATTTCATCTACCCATGTTATACCCAACATATTTGTAGATAAAAATACATATACAATTTAAAACCTGTATAAAACATTCATTTAACATCCATCTCAAATAAACAAACAACATATATATACACATAGCACGTATTTTATATAAAATATTTCATATCTATGTGTAAGATGAAAGTAACTATACACTCACTTGATTTGACGGTGATTGGACAACACTTCGTCCCTTAAAACAATCTTTTTCGATGAAATTGGGATGTTTTCTTAAAAACTGGGCTTTACGCGGGCAGAGTTTCGACTCGAAAAACTCTTTTCTCGGGGTCTTCGGGCTCTCCGGGGCTTGCTTACGATGCTAAGATGGTATTCTAGGCTTAGGGGTATTTATTGCAGCTTAAAAGAAAGTAGAGGGTATAAGAGTGAAAATTTTGGCAAAAGAAATCGGGCAGCCTCGCATGCTATTTATAGGGTGATTTTTGGTCTCTCACATCATGAGAATTCATTGCTCACGTCGTGAGCCATGGCTGATCATCTCGTAGCTTCGCCATCTGCGTTCTAGGCTTGCATGGTGTCCGTTTGACTCCTCACGTCGTGAGAAATCCATTGCTCACGTCGTGAGCTTTTGAATTATCAATCTGTAGACTTGCCATGCGTCTTCTACCTTCGAAATGTGGAATTTTTACTACTCAAGTCGTGAGAAATAGGGCTCATGTCGTGAGTCCAATCAGATTAGGGTTTTCTGGCATGTGTCAAGCTCTCAGACAGCTGTATCTTCGGAAGGCCATAACTTTTGCATATGAGCTCTGTTTTTTACGTTCTTTATATCAACGCGAAGGTGGAGACGTACTATACAACTTTCATTTAGAACCCTAAGGTTAAAGAGCACTCTATCGTAAACTCACTTTTACGAATCCTGGTGTCGTGCCGGTTTTGTCGTGAAACTTCGACATGTTATAACTTCTTCGTTATAACTCAGATTTCAGCATTCTTTATATGTACGAAAACCTTGTGACATATACTAAAACGTAGTTAAGATTATTTATTCTAAATAATTTTCTATCAAAAATTCATTTTTGACGCTTATTGTCTCAAAACTGACTAGCCCGAATATGCAGGCGTTACAGTTTTGTACAACCCATTGCAATGCGGACAAACCGATGTTTTTATTAGTATGTCAACTTTGACAAAACTGCAAACATCGTCCCTGTGGTATGCATTTTCCGGGTTTAGGTCAAAACCATGAATTTTTTTGGATTGCTGGTCCTTTTCAGCTAGTTTTATTGTGGAGTTGGTCCCTTTTAAGCTTAAAAGACTAATCTGGCCTTTTAAATTATATTTTCCATTTTTTTTTATTTTATTTAAATATATTGTTAAAACAAATAAAGATGGGGACCCACCCCTTTCTCTATCTCCCTCACACACACGTCTTCTTCCTCAAGAAAACCCAAATCTTGTAGATCTAATATTCTTAGTTTTCCAAGAAATTACATTTTTTATTGAAGAATTTAGAAAAAATACTTGCAAATTGGGGTGCTTTACATCGATGGTGATGACGACGAAAAGACTACGGTGATTACGAGAGAGGAAATTGACAATGGCAATAATTGTGGAGGTGAGGGTCGGATACGCAGAGCCGATGGCGGTGGCGAAAGGCAACGGCGGTGGTGGTCGTATTCCATTCATGATGCTTCTTCCATAACTGGCAAGCATACTTGCTTGATTCGATACATACACACACACACACACTTGAAATCAATAACCTTAAAAATTGGATTCTTCTTTTGTTTTTTCATAGTTCGAATGTGATAAACCCTTCAAATCGAAGTCATCTTCTCTGAAAGGGTTGTTGAGCGAAATTAGAATCCCTTTGTTGGATGGTTTTCTCCTCGATTGGTGTGCTTCACGAACCAAATCTCACTCTCATCCCTTCCAAATCCATATGTTGCATATTCCCCCTGTTGTATAGTTTTATACTCTTTGGAACTTATAGGAGCATAACATTAGATTAAATCAAACTCAGGAATACTTTATTCCAGGTACAATTGGTCATTGATTCTGTGTTGTTGAAGAAAAGTCAAAATTTTGACTTCATATGCTTTTTCAATTAAGGATTGTACGCTTCAAACAACTGAAATTCATTACTTTTGAAATTCGTCTCCAGATTCACCTCCATCTCTGTGCCATATATCTTCTGGTGGTGTTATGGTGTTCATCTCCAACAACCCCACCGTCGTCAGAGGTGTTTGTGGTGGGATGAAGGTGTCACATGGCGAAGGTTTGTTATGGATGGTGGATGTGTTTCTTTGGTGGGGAACAAGAAAGAAGGTAGAGAGAACAGTAGAAAGGATTTGAAAAGAAAATCAACGGGAGATTTTGCCTATTGAGGTTTTCTGAAAATGATTTTGCCTATGAAGAGGTATCCTGCAAATTATCGATTTGAATTTTCGCTTCCTAATTTTTTTTTTTTTTTTTTGAGAGAGAGACCCTCTAATGTTTTTAATTATAGAAATAGATAAATAATTATTAAATTTAATAAAAAGTAAAAGAGAAAAAGAAAATAAATACATAAAGGTATTATAGTAATTTCAATTTTCGGAGGGCCAAAACCATATACAAACATCATTAAAATGACCATAATTCAAAAAAACTTAAGCTAAACCTAGAAAAATACATATAAGAGTGACCATTTTTACAATTTTATCTACTCTGTATGTAGAATAATATAGTACTAATATAATTTATTAACGTCATAACAATAATTAGATTTTGTAGAATGAAAACACATTAAAAGCTCACATTGCTTTCCTTCTACTTCTAGGAACCAATAAGGGTGGGGTCCTTACCCATCCTTCTCATTGTCTATTTCTCATAAATACACCACCCACCACCACCTTCCTCCTCCACCACCACCGGTACGCACCTCCTCTTTCTCCTCGCCCGATTTCATCAAATACCAATGTGTCAGTTAAACAAATCTTGATTTCTGAAAAGGCTTCTACTCTTCTTTAAGAAAGCCTGACCATGTTGAAGCTTTACCTTAATGGCGTCTTCTGGTTTTTGTTATGTCTTAATTATGCTTCCTCTCTCACCTCCGATGGCCTCTCGCTGCTCTCTCTAAAATCCGCAGTTGATGGCGGTGACACCGCCTTTCCCAACTGGAACGACGACGACAGTACCCCGTGTCAGTGGACCGGCGTCACGTGCGCCAACATTTCCGGGGTTTCCGGACCACGTGTTGTTGGTCTTTCTCTTGCCGGGAAAAATCTCCGGGGTTATATTCCGTCGGAACTCGGGAATTTGGTGTATCTCCGGCGACTCAATTTACATGGGAACAATTTCTACGGCTCAATTCCAGACCCAATCTTCAATGCAACGTCGCTTCACAGTATATTCCTTTACGATAACAACCTCACCGGTCGTCTACCGTCGTCGATTTGCAATCCACCTCGTCTCCAAAACGTCGATTTATCTCATAATTTACTCACTGGTACCATACAGAAGTTTCTAGGTAATTGCCGGCAGTTGCAGCGGCTAGTTCTCGCCGGCAACAAATTATCCGGCGAAATCCCGTCAGGAATCTTCCCGGAGTTAGCGAATTTGGTTCAGCTTGATATCTCTTCAAATTCTCTCAACGGATCGGTACCTTACGATATCGGCCAATTGAAATCGTTGTCGGGAACCCTAAATCTTTCTTTCAACCGATTCACCGGAAAGCTACCAGAATCTTTAGGTGATTTGCCGTTGACCGTCAGTTTTGATCTCCGAGACAATAATTTCACCGGAGAAATACCACAAACAGGTTCTTTCTCGAACCAAGGCCCGACGGCGTTCTTAAACAATCCATCACTTTGCGGATTTCCGTTGCAGAAAACCTGCCGGGATAGTAATTCGGCAACTCCCCCAGGAACCCAGAGTGTTACGCCCACCATCGACGATAATGATTCCAAAAAGGGGTTGAAACCAGGTTTAATTATTCTGATTTCAGTGGCCGATGCATTTGGTGTTGCGTTAATTGGATTAATTATTGTTTATTTGTATTGGAGGAAGAAAGATTCAAATGGTTGCAGTTGTACAGGTAAACGTAGATTTGGCGGAAATCAGAAATCCAAATTCTGTTCATTTCCATGTGTAGGTGGATTTCCCAACACAGATTCAGAAATTGAGTCGGAAAAGGGTAGCGGCGTTAGTGTTAGTGGTGGCGGTGGTGGTGGTGGTGGAGAAGGAGGAGAGCTTGTAGCGATTGATAAAGGGTTTAGTTTTGAGTTAGATGAATTGTTGAGAGCTTCTGCTTATGTGTTGGGGAAGAGTGGTCTGGGGATTGTGTATAAAGTGGTGCTCGGAAATGGGATTCCGGTAGCCGTGAGGCGGTTGGGTGAGGGCGGTGAACAGCGGTATAAGGAGTTTGTGGCGGAGGTTCAGGCAATTGGGAGGGTGAAACATCCAAATGTGGTGAAATTAAGAGCTTATTATTGGGCTCCCGATGAAAAGCTGCTGATCAGTGATTTCATTTCTAACGGCAATTTGGCTTCCGCATTACGTGGTATTTCTTCTTTTCTCGTGACTTTTTTAATTTGCAATGGAATCATTAGTCAACACTTTTTTATCTTTTGTTTTTTTAATCAATAATAAATAGGAATAGTTAATATCATTAAAATTTTAAAGATGACAAATTTAGTACAATAATAAACTGTTTTTAATTAATCGACTTAATAGTTAATAGTTAATAACATGTGAACCTTTTAATTCATATTTGAGTTACTTTTAGCATGTTCAACGTTTTAGTTTGTAAAATATACACATTTGGCTCATTAGTAGTAGAATATATCGCATATTGAACTAATTTTTGGTAAAATCAAAATATTCATGTTTAGATCTAAAATTATTGTAGTGATTTGAAAACAATTACGACTCGAGCTTTTGATTGATTTAACTGGATTGATTTTTATTTACATTTTGCATATGTCACGTTGATAATATGGATTCTTTAAAAAATGAAAATGAACAGGTCAAACATCAACGGTCCTGTCATGGTCAACAAGGTTGAGGATCACGAAAGGAACTGCCAGAGGCTTAGCGTATCTCCATGAATGTAGTCCTCGAAAATTTGTTCATGGAGACATCAAGCCCTCGAACATTCTCCTTGACAATGAGCACCAACCGTATATATCTGATTTCGGTTTGAACAACCTTATTAGCATCACCGGTAACAACCCGTCATCCTCAGGCGGCTTCATGGGTGGGGCCCTTCCATACTTGAAGTCAACTCAAACGGAAAAAGTCAACAACTACAGAGCACCCGAAGCCCGAGTGTCAGTCAACCGACCAACACAAAAATGGGATGTCTATTCTTTCGGTGTAGTTGTGCTTGAACTGCTAACTGGAAAGTCGCCTGAGCTTTCATCTCCCACAACCTCAACTTCTACTGAACTCCCGGATTTAGTGAAGTGGGTAAGGAAAGGTTTTGAAGAGGAAACTCCACTATCCGATATGGTTGATCCGATGTTACTTCAAGAAGTACATGCAAAAAAAGAAGTGCTAACAATGTTTCACTTAGCCCTTGCGTGTACTGAGCGAGACCCTGATATTCGACCCCGAATGAAAACGGTGTCTGAGAGTCTCGAAAGGATTAGAACATAAGTCAACTAATAATGAGTTGAACTATGTTTTTTTGATCAAGGATAAATAAGTTCTAGTTAATTGTCATGTTATTATTTGTTGGAATGTAACAGAAAATCATATTTTTGGTGATGGGATGGTTCACATTGGTGGTTGAAAGAATCTTTCATTTTCTATGAAAAGGAAGGTACATTTTATGAAAGGACATTGGTCGTTCTTTAATAGGAAACAAATTCGCTTGTAACAGAAAATTACAAATTTGTTATTAGTTTACCTTCTTTTCTTTAATCTTTTAAACTTCTTGTAATATTAGAATAAAAATTAAATTTTGATAAAATTGTTTTAATGATTATGACATGTTATATGTCTACATCCACAACAAATGGATCCATGTTAATGGAAAATAGAGGATTCCACAATAATAAAACCAGTAAACAACAGAATTTTATAACATGTCAACAATAAAACAAAATTGAAAGTCTATATAGTTAAGAATTAAGAAATCTGGACGACACAACTGTAAAATTTGTTATTCGTCTTATCACGGTGGATGAGGGTGGCTCACCGATACATCTTGTGTTAGAGTCGATTTTATACTATATTTCACGACTAAATGTGGTCCTATCGATAGAGTTCAACCAACTCAGAAAAGTGTGTACTTCAAAATAAAAATAATTATTATTGCCTTGTTTCTATGGTCATGTTTTTCATATAATAGTAGAAATAACTATATCGTTCTTTGTTTTTTTCTTTCTAATTTTTTTATGCATAGGAAATAAGGAAATGATTTCTCACATTAGGCATCACGTATAATTTACCCCACTGCATTAAAATTTTCATTTAGAGGGCATGGTTGTCACTTTTGTCATCCTATTTTTTTTTTCTAAAATTAATTTATATAAAAATAATGAATTTAAACAAATTATTTTTATAAAAACTAGAATTTCATTAAACTTGAAAGGAAATTACAACAAACCTAAAAAAAAAAATACAACATAGAAATTAAAAATACAAATCATAGAAATTAAAATTACGAAACCTAGAAATTAAATACGGAATATAGATAGACCTAAAAGACATTTTAATCGGAAAATTAACCTTCTAAATCATCGACCGGTTCCGCGTTAAGAACAATGTGGTCAACGGTTCAAATATGTTCTGTTATGTCTATACGAAGATCATGATGGATCTCAACATTATGAATTATTCATCTTCTTGCCAAGTACTTGTCACTTCAAACCTCAAATGTTTGTGTCGGTGGATCGATCTCGTTTTCATTATACTCACATATTGTATTTTCTTCATCTTCGAGAATCATATTATGCAATATGATGGAAGTATGCACCACCTCACTCATTTTCTTATCTTCAACAAAATCTAAAGGGTGTTTAAGTATATGACAACTTTTTTAAGAGAGTCAAATGCTTGTTCAACATCTTTCCTCGCCTTCTCTTGAGCTTTCTTAAACTTCAACATTTTTCGATCATTAGGACAAGACAATGACTTCACAAAACAAGAACGCTCATGATAGATCCCGTCCACAAGATAATACACATACCTATATGACGTTCCATGCATATCAAACAAAGAATCTGGTGTAGCCCCGTAATACATGTCGTCGAATAACGGAGACATGTTAAGAATATTTATGTTATTCAGGGAACCAACAGAACCAAAGAATGTATGTCATATCCACAAATCATGTAAGGCCAACACTTCAAGTATGATAGTTAGATAACCATGATCACATTGGGTGTATTAGCCTTGATATGTATTCAAGCAATTTCCTCATTCCCAGTGGAGACAATCTAGGCTTGCTAACATTCCACGGAAGCCATGCACGTTTGAATAATGAGCATATAATTGTTAGATGTCAGTACAAGTATGTTTACGCAAATATCGTGGACCATACAATCTTATGACATACTTATAAAATTTGTGAAGTATGATAGTTTGATAACCATGATCACCTTGAGTGTATTAGCCTTGATATGTATTCGAGCAATTTCCTCATTCCCAGTGGAGACAATCTAGGCTTCCTAACATTCCACGGAAGTCATCCACATTTGAATAATGAGCATATAATTGTTAGATGTCGGTACAAGTATGTTTACGCAAATATCGTGGACTATACAGTCTTATGACATACTTATAAAATTTATGAAGGCTTTGTCATGTAGTATGTTCAGACATCCTAAGATTATCATCTATTGCATCGAGGGAAGTAGCATATGCAAGTTGATGAAGTGTGGTCGTGCATGTCTATAAGGCAGTAAAACCTAATGTACCTCTAGTGTTGGTGATTTTAGTGGCATCAACATGTTTTAGTGTAGTTGTTATTAATATTCAGATAGGCTGAGTTCTATTTCACTCATTGAGGTTGGATGTGCGGGGTGCACACTCGGAGTGATAATATGAGCTTGAGATATGGGGGACCGGTGGTAGCGCTTGTAGGTATGGGGTTCCAAGGGGCAGAGCCCTTAGCGGGGTACAAAGGACAGAGGCCCTGGCAGCACCCCAAAACCTAAACTGATTTCTAAATTGGGTTGGGCTCCAAACATGCATTTTCCCGCCAAAACCCATTAATGACATCATGATGATGTTGATGTCGGTTATTTCCAATAACTACCATATTTTGGTGCCAATTTTGGATTAACCAATTTTAACCATTTTTCCTTCATGTACAAATAAGATATGAATGTTCCAGGAAAAGGGTTAAACTCTTATATACTTGAAATCTATTTTCATAAGATTTTATCTACTCTTAAGAACACGTCAAGAAAAGGTATTATGTGTTTCACAGTTCAAATTAGGTTTGTAATTCGGATTGGTTTTATTCTTAGATTAACCCATTTGTGAATTCGTATACCCCAGTAATTGGGAATAAATTACAAATTTTGGAAGGTGTTTATAACACGATCCTTGAATCTATCCAAGTAACATGTATTGTTATTCTGGTTCCCTACTTTCTAACATTGGAAATCTGTAATTTCTGTAAAGGAATAACAATGGCAGAATTTGTGAGGGACTTAAGTTCCAAGTTAGGGAAACTTGATAAGTTTGAGGGACATGATTTTCATCGCTGGAAAAAGAAGAAGCATTTCCTTCTCACCACCCTGAAAGTTATCCACGTTTTATGCACTCCTGCACCAGAACCAGTGGTGGATGAAACTATTAAGCATACTAGAAGAAGATGCAAATGGGAAAATGATAACTACATCTGTCGTGGGCACATTCTGAATGGTATGTCCGACTCTCTCTTTCATCTCTATCAAAATCATGAATCTGCAAAGGATCGATGAGATACAACTAAATCTAAATACATGGATGAGGATGCTTCTAGTAAGAAGTTCCTTGTGAGTAATTTTAACAATTACAAAGTGGTGGATTCAAGGTCTGTCATGGAACAATACAATGAACTCATGAGTATTCTGGGACAATTTGAACAACACAAGACGCAAATAGAAGAATCCATTTATGTTTCAAGTGTCATTGATAAATTTTCCCCATCATGAAAAGACTTTAAACATACTTTGAAACACCAAAAGGAAGAGTTGTCTTTGGTACAACTTAGTAGTGACTTGAGAATTGAAGAGGGTATTTGGGCTCAAGAAAGTGGCAAGGAAAAGCTAAAGGAAGTTCTTAGATCTTTTGTGAACATGGCGGAAGATAACAAACATCAAAAAAATAACAAAGAAAAAAGAAGAAGAAAGATGACCATCACAAAGGTTCAACCAAGAAAGCAAAACTTGTGTGTTGGAATTGCAACAAACTTGGTCACATCAAACACGATTGTCGTTTTAAGAAGAACAAAAATTGTATAAGCACTTCTGGACAATGATCTAATGATCAAGGTCTAAAACTACAAGGTCAGAATTTTATTTATGAAAATACTACTACTGTTGTTATATATCATGTCACACTTATTCTTGAATCGTTCTATGTTTATGATGATGACTATGCATGGTAGATAGACTCAGAGGCAACGAGTAATGTGTGTAAAGATTGCTCTTGGTTCAAGGATTATGAAGTAGTTAATGATGGATAAATGATGTACATGGAGACCATAATAAAGCACTTATTGTAGATCGTGGTTGTGTATCTTTATGTTTTGGTTATGGAAAAAGTCTTCTTTTTAAGAATGTTCTTCATGTTCCTAAGATTATGAACAACTTGGTTTCTGGTAGTGTAATAAACAAGTGTGGTTATAAATAAGTCTATGAATCTAATAAGTATGTATTATATAAGTGTGGTACATTTGTTGGGTTTGGATATTACTGTAATGGAATGATTATATTAAATGTAGATAATAAAGTTGCATATTATATATATATATATATATATATATATATATATATGTGTGTGTGTGTGTGTGTGTGTGTGTGTGTATGTGTGTGTGTGGATTGTTCTAGTATTGATGATTCTTCTTTATGGCGTTCTCGTTTAGGACATCTATGTTATAAAAGAATGCTTGAAATGTCTAAAAATGAATTAATTCCATCTTTTGATGTTAACATAGAAAATGTACAACTTGTATGTTAACTAAGATAACTAGACAACCTTTTACCTAATGTTAAAAAGAATTATGTTATACTTGAATTAATTCACAGTGATCTATGTGATTTGCATTCAACTCAATCCTTAGGAAATAAGAAATACATAGTTACTTTTATAGATGATTATTCTCATTTTTGCGATGTATACTTGTTACAATCTAAGGATGAAGTCCTTGATAAATTCAAAATTTATAAAAATGATGTTGAATTGCATCAACATGATTTAATCAAAAGACTTTGCACTGATCGAGGTGGAGATTATTATGATCCTAGCTATTTCCAATCTATTAGTATTATACATGAAATAACTGCTCCATATACTCCTCAACAAAATAGGATTTCTAAAAGGAAAAATAGTGTTCTGAAGGAAATGGTGAATTCTATGTTGTCATACTCAAGTTTGAGTGATGGATTCTGGGGAGAAGCCATGCTAACTGCATATTATCTTCTAAATAGAGTTCCAAACAAAAGGAACAAGATAACTCCATATGAACTTTGGTACAAAAGGAAACTAAATTTAAGATATCTTAAAGTTTGTGGTTGTCGGGTTGTTGTAAGGCTGACTCAACCAAAGACGAAGACTTTGGGTGAAAGAGGTATTGATTATATTTTTATTGGATATGCCGAGCATTCCAAGGCTTTAGGTTTTATGTTATAGAATCTAATGCTTCT